CTCCCTTCTCTCCTACCCACTGTTCCCGTTCATTCCTTTCTCCGTTCCCTCTTCTTTCTTCCTTTTTGTCTTTGCTTTCTTTCTTGTGTGTGTATGTGTACATGCATGTGCTAGGCCCAGGGCCTGTCATACTAAGCAAGCTCTCTATCACTGAGCTACACTTCTAAGCCCCACTTCCTTGTTACAGTTCTCTTGCTCTCTGGGGGACTTTCCAAGGGATTGTAAAATTCATTACTTAAGAGCCAGTGAAAACTGAGGAAACCAGGCATGTTGGCTCATGCCTGTAATCCCAGCACTTGGGAAACTGAGGCACAAAGATTGCCAAAAATCTGAGACCAGCCTAGGCTACATAGTGAGTTCCATAGACCCAGATGTGGTGGCTCACCCTTGTAATCCCAGCACTCAGTGGGTAGCAGCAGGAGGAGGATTTCTGTGTTTGAAGCCAGTAAAGGCTCTATATAGGGATCCTGTCCCCCCTCCAAAAAAGAAAGCAGGGGTCCAGGCATGGTGGCACATGCCTTTAATCTCAGCATCTGGGAGGCAGAAGCAGGCTGATCTCTGTGAGTTTGAGCCTAGCCTGGTCTACATAGCAAGTTCCAGGCCAGCTAGGGCTACATAGTGAGACCCTGTCTTAAAACAACAAAAAAGCAGGGTTTTTTTTGTTTTGTTTTGTTTTGTTTTGTTTTGTTTTGTGTGTGTGTGTAATATTCCTTGGAGTACTGACAAGCCACAGGAGCTTAAAACACTAGGCACCCTATAGAGTCTCCCTGACCCTTTCCCTGAGACATCAATCTTGATGTTCCATGGCTAGACCTAGGTGACCCCGAAGAGAACCCTAAGATGAGAGGTGGAGGCAGGAGGATCAGAAGCTAAAGGCTATCCTCAGCTACATATCAAGTTCAAAGTCAACCTGGGACATATGAGAACCTGACTGGAAGAAAAAGGCTGGTAAAAATGGCTACCTGAGTTTGATCCCCAGAACCCATGGAAGGAGAGAACTGACTCCCAAAGCTGAGTTGTCCTCTGGCTTCCACATGTATACCATGGCATACACACACACACCACATAAATAAATAAATATCCCATCACTCAGCCCAGTAACCCCTTACTCCCAGAGCAGGCACCCTGGAGAAGGAAGGACCTGGCCCCTTGGATGGTGTCTCATATCCCCAGTAAAATGCAGAGGGAAGGAGACCGCCCCCTTTAAAACCCAGCTGCCCCCTTGAAGCCTATAGCCTTCATGTCTGCTGAGTACCTGAAGCTGGGTGTACCATATAGGGCCAGGTGAGTGTGGGCGGGCAGAATGGGAGAGAACAAAACTGCTCTGCAAAACAGGATGGAATACAACTGACTTTTTCCAGGAAACCTCGAATCTCCATGGCAAAGCAATATACAATGTCTAAATCCCTGGTAAATGCCCTGTCTTGACATTCCAACCTCTGGACCATAACTTTTTTGTGTTTTGTTTGTTTTGTTTGAGATAGGGTTCCAAGCCAGGCATGGCCCATGCCTTTAATCCCAGCACTTGGGAGGGAGAGGCAGGCAGATCTCTGTGAGTTCAATGATATAGCCCTTGACTAGCATTTATCAGGCCCTGGGTCCAACCCCAGTACTGTACTGTACTAGAGAAAGAGAGAGAGAGAGAGAGAGAGAGAGAGAGAGAGAGAGAGAGAGAGAGTTCATTACATAGTCAGTTCCAGGACAGCTGGGGCTACAGGGAAAAAAGACAAAAAAAAAAAAAAGAGAGAGAGAGATAGGGTCTCACTCTGTAGCCAGGCTGGCCTTGAACTCATGGCAGTCCTCCTGCCTCTGCCTTCCAAATGTGGGGTTACAGATATGTACCATCACACTCAGCTTGACTGACTTTTCAAGAAACTGTGACCTTGTGGTTGGTGATATTAACTCTGAGATCACTCTGCTCTGCCTGAGGTGTCTAGCCTTGCCTTAGAATCCTCCCAAAGGGCCCTCTGTCTCGTCTAAAGGCCTTAGCAGGCCTCATCGGCCTCAAATGCTCTTCCACTGAGTTTCATCGCCAGCCCTTTGAGAGTCTCACCAAGTTACCCAGGCTGGCCTCCAACTTACTTTACAGCCAAAGCAGACCTTGAACTTTCAACCTCCCTGCCTTAGCTGCCCGAGCAGTTAGGATGTTGGGATTACAACGTCCTGTACTGCTAGGCCTGGATTATTTATTTTTTTATGTATTTATTCATCCATTCATTCATTCTTTTTTTTTTTTTTTTTTTTTTTTTTTTTTTTGGTCTTTTTGAGACAGGGTCTCTCTGTAGCCCCAGCTGTCCTGGAACTCACTATGTAGACCAGGCTGGCCTTGAACTCACAAAGATCCTCCTGCCTCTGCCTCACAAGTGTTGGGATTAAAGGTGTGCACCACCATGCCCTGCTCATTCATCCATTTTTGAGACGGTGTCTCACTGTTGTTCAGAGTGGCCTAGAATGCCTAGGTTCAAGTGCTCTTCCTGCCTCCTGAGTAGCTGGAACAGGCATAAGCCTCTATGCCCAGATCATCTTTTTTTTTTTTTTTTTTTAACTTTTCAAGATAAATGTGCATCTGTACACAGGCTGTCTGACCTGTGCATCACCCAGTGGAAGAGGAAGGAATTGGCTGCCTGAAGAACCATACTGTGTACAAAGGGGCACCCTGGGGGGCTGAGTTCTGCCTGGACCCTGGGGAGGGGGGCTTGGCAGAGCAGGCGTCTTCCAGGAAGTGACTTCAGAGTCCCTTTCAGCTTTGGGGCTCAAGAGTGGAAGGTTCCATACAGATTTGAGCTTCCCTTTTGGAAGGCTCCTCTGTATTCCTTCTCTGAGGGTCTAGACGTCTAGGACCAGAGGCTTCTGGGCCTCCCTGCCCCCCACCCCAATTCCTATCGCCCTTGATTTACCCTGCCACAGGGAAAAGTCCACAAACTTTCCTGGTGCCTCAGTTGCTGACCAAACAGCTGAGCATGTCAGTTATCTGAGTGATCATGGAAGTCCACTGTAGTACAGGCATTTGGTTCTGCCAAGTTCTTTCCCTAAAAGCATCTCAGTCACACAAGCCCCCAAAAGAAAAAGTTGTGAGCCGGGTGTGGTGGTGCACACCTTTAATCCCAGCACTAGGGAGGCAGGCAGATCTCTGTGAGTTTAAGGCCAGCCTGGTCTACATAGTGAGTTCCAGGACAGCTGGGACTACAGGGAGACCCTGTCTCAATAAGACCAATGAAAAGAAAGAAAGGGTTGTGGAGGTGATCTAGCCACATATCCCAATGACAGGCACAATCCCTCATCCCATTTCAGGGTCACCTGGTCTTAGCCCAAACTCCTGCATACCCCAGAACATACATGCTCTAGCACCAGGAACCCCACCTAAGATGTTTCCTGTCCCAAGAGGCCTTCTGGCCTTTGTGAGTGCCTCCCCTACCCCAAACACCCCTGCCTGAAACTGGGGACAGTGGCTTGGGCAGAGAGTCCCACAGGCTAGTTTGTACAACTTAGTAAGAGTGTCAAACAGTAAAAAGAAGGCAAGGATGATAGTCAATGATATAGCCCTTGACTAGCATTTATCAGGCCCTGGGTCAAACCCCAGTACTGCACTGGAACGGGGGGGGGGGCAGACAGACAGAGAGAGAGAGAACATGAAGAGGAGCAAAACAAACATAAACAGATAAACAGCACTGTCTGGTTTTAGAAGAGCCTTCTTTTAAAAAAGTTTTGTTTTTATTTGTGTGTGTGTGTGTGTGTGTGTGTGTGTGTGTGTGTTATAGCACAAGTAGAAGCCAAAAGAGGATGTTAGCTGCTCTGTTCTAATACGCTCTACCTTATTCCCCCAAGACAGGGTCTCTCCCTGAACCTGGGCTGGCAGCTAGCTGGAGTTCTAGGCTTGTGGGAAGTCACATCCGGCTTTATATATAGATGCTGAGATTCAAACTCAGGTCCTCATGCTTTTGCAGAAAGCACCCTTACCCACTGAGCCATCTCTCCAGCCCTCTCCATTTCTTTTTGTAAAGGTGGGACCAGGATAAGAATGAAGTCCTTTGCCAACTGTAAACCAGGCTGCAGATGCTGTTTATTAGGATGAGGCCATTTGAGACCAATTACAGAACAACACATCAAGGATTATAGAACAATGCTGAGGAAATTGCACACATATGTGCTGGAGGCCCCCCAGAAAGAACTGCGCTGCCACTGGAGTGGTACCGCCATGCCCTGCTCCCTGGACCAGATAGGTACCCCAGAGCCAGCTGGGGAAGGGGATTAAATCCAGTGACCACGAGGACCTTCGGGCTCAGAACAGCAGCTCTTGGACAAGGGCCCGGGTTTGGAATTCAGGACTGCAGTCTCAAATAGTATGGCCACTTTCCACTCTGTAGCAGCAGGGGGGCCAGCTTTCTGGCTGGAGATGTCTGAGACCTAAGTCACAGGAGCTGATGAAGAGATGCCAACTGCTGTGGAGGGAAGAGCATGCTCGCACTCATTCATTCATTTGTTGACTCACTCATCAGTCCAGGCTGACTGAGCATATACCTCCTGTCAGATAAATGAAAATGAGGAAGAGGGTTGCTGAAGGGAGTGTGATGGGTCCTAAGGGCTTTGACAGCAGGGACCAAGAGGCTAGCACCTCCAGAGGTGGGGCCCCAGCACAGACGGCCTGGACCCAACATCCTTGTTTATCCTCAAGATATCAGTGCAGGAAGATGCAGAAAGGGAGGAGGAAGATGAAGGACCTCCCTTGAGCCCCTCTCTAAGTGCTCAATGACTGAGGGGAGTCAGAGATGGGACCTGGCAGGTTCAGCCAGGCAGAGGTGAAAGTGATGGGCACGTGGGAGGGACTGGCAGATGGAAGAGAGCAGCCTGATTGATAGAATATTGGGGGCAGGTGGGTGGACAGCCAGGGCTGTTCTGGGCACCAGCTTCCTGATGCCCAGCAGCCAGCCAGGCCAGTGGGTTGGGGGTGGGGGATGCTGCTGGTCTCTGGTGGAGTTTGTGGTGAATGAATCACTGGCAGTGCCAGGAGCCTACAGGCTTCATCTTGTGCTCCCTGAGGACCAACTAATTCACTTGGAGCAGGGCCGGGCGGCTAATGAAGAGAGCAGGCAGCAACCGCCCCACCCTACTGAACCCTACGTGCAGCTGGCCAGTAAGCAAGGGGCAGAAGGACCCTGAGAGAGGAGATATCCCTGGATCTGACTGAGCTGGGGGAGAAGGACAGACAGGCCTTCCTGAACTACCAAAGCTCTGGTTAGGAAAGGTCAGCTGGGAAGGGGATGTGGGGATCCCCTGGTAGAAGGAGGAGGGGGAGGAACCATGAGCAGCCAAGATGTGTGGCCAAGTAGGCTGGGCCCTACCAAGAATAGAAACTGAAATCTCAGAGAAACAAATCAGTTGGAAAACAAAGTCAGTGTCTGTCTTGTCCAGGTTCTCACTGACACTAGCTGTTTGCTGATGTCACAGGTGTGGCATTCCTGGGACGCCTCTTCCCCAACCCCACTCACCAGGGTTTAGTAACCACTACTATGTGATGCTCTATGGGTTCCAAATCTGCCCGAAATCCTCTGCCAGAGAAGGACTCAACTAACAGGAAAGACACCAAAGACAACACCCGACTTCCACCCACCAGAGACCCCAGGCCAGGGCTCCTTATGGCTACCTGAAAGGCAAGAACTGTCCAGGAGGCCCATTTTACAGGTGAGTAGACAGAAGCTCAGACATCTCAGTCACTCACTGAAGGCTCTTCTAAGTGGCAGAGGTGACTCTTCAATGACTGTCTGTCATACATAATCTCATGACTCCAGGTTGGCAGGGGAGGTAGGAGTGATGGCTACTGTTCTTAAGGAATCAAAGACCTCACTAGCAACTGCTGGGCACTGGCAAGTCCTAGAGGACCGAAGGGCTTGCCTTTGGGGTTCAGTGTTGTGAGGAGTCCCTCCCAGGGGACAACACATTAGCAATCTCTTCAGACACAGAGGAGAGGGGAGGAGCAAGCCCCCAGTTTTCTGGGCCTGCATGGTCCTCTGGGAATAAGCTTGGGTAATGGGTGGCCCTTCATACTTGTAACTGCTCCCCTGGTTCTAGGCACCTGTCTCATGGTGCCCTAGGCTCATCTCCTGAACTAAGATGTGTGTGATGGAGCAGAGCCTGCAGGACTCTGTGGTCCTCAGACATGGTTGCCTCCTGTGGGACCTAGGGAACAAAGGGGAACTGGCTTGGGAGGGCAGGTGGTGACCACGTGCTCATCCAGCTGTGGCTGGGCCTGGTAGGAAGAGGCCTTGGGCGCCCTCTGCTGGTCGGGGTGGGGAGCTCCTGGAGGGAGGAAGTGGCAGCTTGGAGCTGGAGCAGCAGCTCCTATCTCACTCAGTAAGGGACTGGCTGGTTATTCAGCAGTGGGTCCTGGTGTGTGTCTGGGAGGGCGTGCCTGCATGTGACCATGTCTGTGTCTGCAGATAGGTTCCAGGACGCTTGTGTGGTGTGTGTATGGTATGCATGTGTTTGTGTGCATGAGTGTACACACATCTGCATGTGCACATTTTTGTTCGCACTTGACCATGTATGCATACAGTGTGTGCAGGTGTTTGGTGTTTCTGTATGGGAGTCTGTACCTGCTCTTGAATGCACACCTCTTTGAGTATGGTGTCCATATGCCTATGTGTCCATCCACCTGGGTCTGCCCAGTGAGGCATGAAGGGAGCTCCCAGGGCTTGATGGGGAGGTTACAGGACCGCAGTGGAGGGAGACTGGGAGGGGCAGCATTGTCCATGGCCACTCTGAAGTTCATTCAGGGCCTTTGAGGAAAAAAGGAGAAACTATCGGCCTACCATCCATCCCCCCAGGAGCCTTGCATATACACAGTCATAATAGAATGTGGTAATTCAGATGATGGCACTGTTGGAGACCACAGGGGTGTAAGGCTACTTGGAACAATCCAAAAAGGCTCCTCAGGAGAGGTAAGCGGAAGCTGGGGCTTGCAAGCTTAAAGGGTAGGAAAAGCCTTGGACAGGAGGCAAGTGGAGTGAGGAAGTGGGGGCCCCTGAGGATCAGGGCATGGAGAACAAAAAATTGGAGAGTGGGAGTATTGGGGTTCCCTGGGGGTCCAGCAGTGGGCTGAAGACTTGGCAGCGTGAAGCATTCTGTTCTGGGGGTTGAGGGTAGACAGGGCCTGCATCCTGGGAAGAAGGCCTTGCTTCTCTTTCTTATTTTTCTTTTTTTCATTCTTTCTTTCTTTTTCTTTTTCTTTTTTTTTTTTAAGATGAGGTCTCTCTAAGTAGCCCAGGTTGGCCTCAGACCTCAATCCTCCTGTACCAGAAATGATAAGTTGTGCCACCCCACTTGGCTCTCCTTTCAGGTACCCCACCTGCCACATGCAAACTCCAGAGGCCCCAGATGCTAGGTCAGTGTTGACCCCAGACAAATACACTTGAGCCCTGGAACCCTCTCAGTGGTGGCCTGGGGACTATTGGGCTGTCCTGACTGCCTCCCCCTCCTGATGCCCAGTGCTGCCCATGCTATGCCAGCTGCAGCAGCCTCTGGGTGCCTCTTCTGCCATCAATGCCTCCTCTGTGGCCTTGGGAGGGTGGCCCGAGAAAGACCTTGGGCTGGGGCCAGCCTGGTCCCCTCACTGGGTGGCACCAGGCTGGCCTCTTCTTTGGCTCCAGCCTCAAGGTCTTCGTGGTAATCTCCAGCCTAGGTCTCAGTACCTCAGAAGCCCCCCACATAAGAAATTGAACCCAGGGAAGGGGTCTCTGCATCACATCCATTCGGGCTCAGTAAAATAGGTCATGTCTGCATACACCCACACAGGGGAGAGGTGGAGGTTTGTTTTTCTCAGTGGAGTCCCAATACCTGACCCCACCCTACCTGGATGTTCTTGAAGTGGCCTGCTTCTGCTTCTCCTCTGTTCCTACACTTTTGTTCTTGCCCTCTCATACCTGCTCAGGCCAAGGCCCTCCCTCTACCACCTAGAGCCAGGCTGTGTACACCACTGCGCTCCACCCCAGGAGGGGGAGTGAGCATGGGTGCCACCAAACCAGGGAGGCAGGGCATCAAACTGATCACTGTACTGTGGCTGTGGTCACTCTGCTGCCCTGTCCCTTAGTTGCCCATGGCTCAGCATCACTGACTCCAAGATAAACCGCCTACTCCGAGGCATTCAAGGCCCCTCACTTGCCTGATCTTATGCTGTCTCCTCTTCCCTGCCCTTCCCCTCCTTTCCCTTTCTATTTATTTGACAGAGTTTTATGTAGCTCAGGCTGGCCTCAAACTCACTATGTAGCTGAGGATGACCTTGAACTCTTGATCTTCCTCTTTACCTCTTGAATACTGGAATGACAGGCATGTAGCACCACAGCCAGTTTACATGGTGCTGGTATCAAGCCCTGGGCTTTGTGCATGCTAGGCAAGCACTCCACCTACTGAGCTACATCTCCAGCCCTCATCTTCTTCTTTCTCCTCACTGTGGGCCTCCATTCCCCAACTCCTCTCATTGCCCCTCCAAACTTTGCTCAGCTTCTCACCCAACCCTAGACTCCCTTTTGCCATAAGCTGCACTCAATGTGCTCTGCCCTGCAAGGACTCCGGTTCGCCGTGGGGTAGCCTCCCCACAAAGCTCAGTTCGGCTCTGGCTTCTTAGGGATGGGGTCCTGAGGCCTAGGAGTTCTGCATGCTGCTGCAGCCCCGCCTCTTTTCCAACCAGTGAGGCCCAGCTCCAGGCTGCCCAGCTCCTGGAGCTGGTGCTGGCTCAGAGCTTCAGCATCCAAGAAAACAGGCAGTGGCGGTAGGAGCCTTGTAGGGAGCTGCCAGTCCTGCCTGGTGCCACATCTCCCCACTCCCAGGGGCTATGCCAAGCCAGCACTTATGACAGCAGGAGAGCACATGCTTGTGTACACGCACAGCCTGTAGGAGCACATGCTTGCGTACATGCTGCCTGTCAGCTGCACCGTCCAGTCCCCATGGCAGGAGTGGTAAGCTCCTTAGGGACCCTGGGCTCTACCAGGCACAGGACCTTCCTAAAAAAGACCCCTGTGGCTGCTCTTAGGACTAAGACTTGGGTCAAGTGAAACCTTGGGCTCTGGAACTACATCACCCATGCCCAGACCAACCTTCAGGCGCTCTGTCCTGGGCAGATTTACACACTGGGCAAGGGTAGAGCCCAGAGTGGGAGGAACAGTAGAGAGGGAGTCACTGCTCTGGGCAGCCTCTAGAGCTGGCAGAGGCTTCTGCCAAGCCATCCCCCTAACCCCCTCCTCCAGCCTTCCACCACTCATTATCAACTTGGGGCTTGTGTACAAACAGCAGCTGGCCTCTTTTGTCAACCTCCTCCCTCCCCCTCCCCCCAGTACCTCCCAACTGGCTCCTCCATTCTCCCCACCATAGCCCCTGGTGATTTAGAAGCTGGAGCCCTGGGGAATCCCAGGGAGGCAGCTTCTGCCATTCTTGGTCCTAAGTTCTGCAGTTTGGTGATATTAATCCATCTGGGACTCCACAAGAACCAGAGAGGGTGAGTAACCGAAGCAAAGTCACAAGGTGAGCATATGTTGAGCCAGGCTTCCACCCATGTGCCTGTTTGCAGTTTGTTTGCAGAGCCTGTTTGCTGAGCCAGCCTGCAGCCAACTTCTGCTGTCCCTTGACTGTCCAACATGGATATGAAGGGGCTCTGGGAAGGCAGACAGCACACAGTCACTCCCTAGCCATCAAAGACTTCAGCTAAAGTAATTCTGCCTGCCTAGAGTTGGGACAAGACAGGGTCAGATGGTGGGGGCCCAGTTAACACCCAGGTGCTTGGGGCTGGATGCTGAGGACAGAGGACAGGAGGGTAAACGGGAGGCCAAGCCAAAGTAGAGAGTGGGGCAGGGGCTGACCCTGGGAGAACACTCTTGATCACAGAGCAGGGCTGCAGATGGAGTGACACCCAGGTCCAGTTGGAAGGATCATGAGCCATTCACATAAGTAGAGATGCTGCTGGCTACCAAGATAGCTCAGCAGGCAAAGTTGATACAGGAACATCGGGGTGTCTTTGAGAGTAATGAGGCCTTTCTTGGCTGTTGTGCTTAGCTTAAGAGGCTAGGGTCCCAGAAACTGAAGAGCCACAAAACCACCTCAAGCCAGAGGCTTTCGGGTTCTCCTCTCATGAATTAGAAGAACGAATTCACTGACCACAGAGGATGAGTTTTAGAAAGGGGTATTTTTATTATTGGGAGCTTAGGAGAGAGAAAGCAGAGCTCCTGGACAGTAGGGGTCCCCTGAATCTTATTTCTTGGGGGCTAACAAGCGTGTAGTGGAGGGAGGAGGGGCACAGGAGGGAAGCTGCTCAGTCCAGTTCTTATTCCAGGCATCCAGGTCCCTCGAGGTTCTGGTCATGTCCTCAACATGTCTCCCGGAAACAGGGTATTACTTCAGGGGAAATGAGATGAGGGGAAAACTGGACCCCTTTACTGCCAACCCCTCTGGCTATGGCGGAACAAGAGACATCTGTGGATAGACAGTTCTAGCATCTCTAGCCTCAGGTAGGGACAAATGCACTGGCAGATCCAAGGAAATTTCCAGCTCTCAGCTGAAAAAGAAACTAGTCATTTTTCTTTTGGTGTCTTTACCCTAAACTACCTCGTTATCAAAAGTGCTTACCATGCAAGTCTGACAGCTGAGTTTGATCCCTAGAAGCCATGTCCTTTGACCTCCATATGAACACCATAGCCTGGACTACAAGACTTTCAAGCCATCCTGGGCTACAGAGTGAGAACAGGTCTAAAACAAAAAACCTTGCTGGGCAAGGTGGCACATACCTTTAACCCCAGCACTTAGGAGGCAGAGGCAGGCAGATCTCTGTGAGTTCCAGACCAGCTTGGTCTACACAGCAAGTTCTAAGTCAGCCAGGGATACATACAAGACCCTGTACACCCCCTCCCAAAAAAAGACAAAACACTTTTATAAGACCTGGGATAAAAAGCTGATGCCAATAGTGTAACTGATCACAGAACATCTGTTCAGTCTCAGGTGGAACCAAGAAAGACCTGACCCTGCTGTGTGATGGGGGGCAGGGGTGGAGGGATGGGGATGGGGGTGTGTGTGAAGGTGGGGGTTGCCAACCCTAGCCAAAACACCACTGTGAATTGGCCCTGGCATGTCCTGGCTCAGAGTACATTAGGGGTCACTGCTGTGGATGTCTCAGACCCAGACAAGAAGGGACTAGAGGGAAATACCTGCGACTCCCAGGAGCATCTTGGATGCACCCCCAAAGTCAGCCAGGAGTTCACAAGCGGGTGGTGGAGCAGCCCAGCGTAGGCAAGGCGGCTGGGAGGGCAAGGAAAATCGCGGCTCAGGAAGGAAAGGTGGAGCTAGAGTTGGACCACTGCCCAGGTCCTGGTGCGCATCCGTGACCCCCACCCCAAGCCAAAGTCCGCCTCCCAAAGCGCTTTGTCCTGACCCTCGAGGGCCACCTGGGCTGGGCGCAGGCACGCAAAGGCCACCAGTAGGCTGTCTGCAGGCGAGGCCGGGAGGCCCCCTAGCGGGCCCCGCACACGCCGGTGCACCCAGCGCGGGCGGAAGTCGCAGGGCCGGAGACCTCCCCGGGTCACCAGGCCAGCGGGAACAAAGGACACGGCGGGCGGGAGTGCGCTGGCCGGGCGATGATTGGCGGCTGGTGGGGGAGTCCAGGCCGAGCCGCAATTGGCTGCAGCCTTGGGGGCCTTGGCGCCGACCCCGCCCCTGGGGGGGCTGAAACCTGAGCCCCCCCCGCCCCGCCGACTCCCCAGGAGGCCATCTGCGCCCGGGGACGGCGCCCAGGCTGCACCCCTGGGGCCTGGGGGACTGTGCACTCACTACCCTGTCCGGCTGCACGCGGGGACCGCCGGGCTGTGCAGACACCACCTCCTGGGGACGCCCGACGGTCAATGGGTGCCAGGGTGCTCGGCTGCAAAGGTGCTAGGTCCTAGGGAGCTGTCCCGGGAGCGAGGGCTGGACTGGGAGAAGGGTCAGAGAACAGGACACGGAGCGAGGGCTGAGGTAAGACCAGTGAGTGGAGGAGGCCAGTCTGAGTCGGTTACAGGGCAGGCTGGCTCCATGGCCAGAGCCTGGCAACTCTGACAGTCAAGTGGCTCGACACAGAAACCCAGCAGGGTTGGGGACACACCTAGCCAGGCGGTAGCTTGGTGGTTAAAACCTTGCGCGGGGCCTTTCTCAGCTCCGTTCCTGTTTCCCAGATGCCCAAGAGGTGAGAGAAGGGGTGGAGCTCGGGGCCTGGCCACCAATCACAGCCTACGCTTCACTTTGAATCTGGGCTGGCGGGCGCGGGCTGCGAGCCGCCAGGTGTGCTGAGGGCCTCTTTGTCCCCACTTGTGTGCCCAGGCACGTCCCACCCCGCCCCCACCCTTGCAGAGGTGCTGGGCCAGGTCCTGCAGGTTCCCCGCTTCTCCAGGTGCTCCTGTAGAAAACTAAATCTGGGCTTAAGTTTGGGGCCCCTTCAGGGCTGGTGATTCTGAAACAGCCTCTAGCGCAGCCCTGCCCTGGGATCAGAGACCTCCCCAGCTGGCTTAGGGCGGGATGGTGCAGGGGATGAAGGAACAGGTCATCATTTATAGCGAAAATCTTTTAAGAGATTCAGCCAGACGGCTTAACAGGTAAAGACACTTGCAGCCAAGTCTGATGAGTTCCACCCCCAGGTCTCACACAGAGAAAGGAGCCAACTGAGTCTCATTTGTCCTCTGACCTACAATAGCACGTGGGTACCCCCCCACACACACATACAAACGTAAATATATGTAAAAATAAAGTTGTTAAGCCCTGGAATGGGGCTAGGCCACTGTGAGCTATGCGTGAGCCTGTGTGAGGCCACACAAACCTCTTACCTAACATAAAGGGGGCCTGTTCCAGTCTGCTGTGAGCACTGAGGGGGGATCCTGTGAAGGAGACTTAGGAGAGGAAAGCTGGGAGAGGGGTATGTTATCAGAGGGCCCAACCCATGGGGAAGGTGGAGGGTGCTGGTCCTTATCAGAAAGGTCCATACAGTGCCCAGCCTAGTCCAGTGAAACCCTGAACCCCACAAACCTAACAGAAGGGAGCCAGAGTTTTGGGGTCCTGCTCTTGAACCATCTCCAAGTTGGCTAAGAAAGGTGGGGCAGGGGGGCTACTTTAGCCCTACAGGGCATTTACCTCCTTCCTCTGATGACCACTGGGCAGGCCTGGGCCCTGCTGTCTGCTCCCTCCCTCCCACAAGCTCTGGCAGAAAACCATCCCATAAACCCTCCAATCTACTTTTCTAAGCTTCTCAACTGTCCTCCCACTCACTGCCCTGATCACTATTGGACCACAGCTTCAGGTGATCAGTCCCCCACCACTGGCCGGCCTCCTCTGCAGCCAGGATGAAGTGAAAATTAGATCTTGTCCCTTTGCTGCTAAAATGCTGTAGAGCTGGGCTCCATGGCACATGCCTATAATCCCAGCAAGAGGATCAGGAGGATCGGGAGTTCAATGCCAGCTTCAGCAAAACAGTGAGTTTGAGGCTAGCTTGATCTACATCTACATGAGATCCTGTTTCAAAAAGCCAAAAAGGAGAGCAGGCCTTGGTGGTGTACATTTGTGAGCTGAGCTCAGTACTAGGGAGGCAGAAACAAAAAGATCACCCATAAGTCTGAGGCCAGCCTGGTCTACACAATGATTTCCAGGCTAGCCAGGGCTACATGATGAGACCCTGTTACAAAATAAATAAATAAAATGTACAGATACACTATCCCCCTAGGCTCCCCACTAATTTAATCTACCAGTCAGGTAACAACTGGTTAAGCCCATACCCTAGAACCAACCTGCTCATGATTCAATCCTACTCCCTGCTATTTGTGTCTCAGTTGCCGTATTTGTAAAATGGGGTTTACAATAAAAACTGAACAATGTTTTGTGTGCTTGACACATACTCGTCTATCCCTAATCCTCACCACAACAGCAGTGACCATCATCACATGGGCTCCAAGGATGGCAGAATAACGAATGCCATTCCAGATTACCTGCTTGGCACAGGTGCTGAGGAAATGAGTTAATGCATCCCAAAACTCCAGAACATCTTAGAACACTGCTGGTGTACAACACATTCTAGCTGTTACTCCTGATCCAGCCCCTCCTGCCAGCACCTTCCCCCAAATCTACCTGCCAATCCTCCTGTCCTCTGTCCACCTTCCTCTTCTCTCTTCCCCCTCCTCACCGCCTTTCTTCTCTGTCCCAGCACCTGTCACAAACTTGGAGCTTAGTACATATTTAGAAATGAATGAGGTGTTTGAATTGGCTGGGCTGACCAGATTTTTCCAGTGCTCACCCGCCCCCTGGTGGTCATCCTGGGCATTCCAAGCCTTGGCCAACTTTCAAAATGGGAGGGCAAAAGACAGCCTGAGGGCCTGGGAAGGTAGGAGGCCACCCACGGTAGAGGGAGACAGTCTGCTGCTCAGGGAGTTGATCCAGGGCTGGGGCCTCCCAGGAACATGGAGCAGCAGGGGTTTAACTCCACAGCCTGCTCTTTCTCTTTTCACTGATACCCCCTTTACAGTGCATGTGTGTGTGTGTGTGTGTGTGTGCTCACGCGCATGTACTTGTCTGAGTAAGCTAGTCTGTGTGCTTAGGAGGCCAAGTGTTCAACTGTGTCTGCACAGAACAGATGGCGGCAGCAGATTCTGCCTGTGGAGGACATTCGTGTGGGTGGAGCTGGATGTGTGAGCAAACCCACATTCATGTGTCAGTCCCCAGCCTGTTATCAGGAACCTGAGTCTGAGAAAGCCCACTGCGGCCTGTCACTGGGACAGATCCTATTGTCCTCAGTGGTTCTAGGAGTCTGAAGTTTTCCACACTTCTTTTTGGTCACAGGTGACAGGTCACCTGGCTGTGTACCTGGAGGAAGGCTGTGTTTCTCCCTTTCCCTTACAGTATGTGGTCACTTTGTTGGTGTGACTGGCCAGATATCCTGCTGATCTTGCTGAGTGCCTGTTGGGCATGCCCCAAGGGTAAGGTGTTCCAATGACACACCCTCACTCAGGAACAGCTCTGAAGTCTGCCAAGTCTCCTGATTATTTTGTCTGTTATCTTCTTTCCGTGGGCAGGCTGCTGTGAAAATGAGGAAGTACGTGCCCGCTCCCAGGAATGGTGTGACTTTAGACAAGCTCAACTGCTCTGAACTTGTTGCCTCACCTGCTAAATGGGGGAGTTAGTGCACTGACCTGGAGCTTCAGCCAGGTATGGGGATACATGCCTGTAATCCCAGCACTTGGGAGGCTAAGACTAGAGGATCACAAGTTCAAGACTTGCCTGGGCTACAGAGGGGAGAGCCTATCTCAAAATAAAATAAGCACAGTTGTAGTGTGCTTGCCTAGTATGCGACCCTAGGTTTAATCCCAAAAAATCAGAAAAAGAAAAAGAAATGGAGGATGAAAGCCTTGGGCCCATGGCAGCTGTTCTAAAGTACTTCGGCCTTCTAGCAGGGCTCTGTCCTGTGCTTCCTGTCCCCATGACCCAGTTCCTGCAGCATTTGGACTGGCAGCAGCTTCCCCAGACTCAGAATAATTTACAACTTCTGGCACGCATGCCTTGTTTGCTTCACACAGACCCCAAACTCGCACACAGGTGACTTGATTTTCCAACATCCAAATTCAAATACCTGGTCCAGGCAAACCGATATACTTAGGGCGTGGAAGGGGCCGAGGTTTGAAGCAAGTCCTTGTCCAACTCTCCAGCTTCCAGCCTTGGCACATTTGACCACCTGGGGGAGCCCTCTGTCCCCTTCAGTCAGAAAAGTGGGGGAGGGGTATGGGGGAAGCCAGGCTGAGTGTTAACTCATCGTTGCTAACCCTCCCCCAAGATCCAGGGTTTTGGACAAAGATACCTGGGGTGGGCTGGGGCAGGTGACTTTCTTGGGCACAGTGGAATCAGAAGGAGCATGCTGCTGTGTGCCATGCCTGTCAAAATGGGCCCACCTGCGCTTGAGAAGAGTAATGCACTGTGTGTGGGATCCCTCAAATCAGCCCAGATGCCTGGAGCCCTGTGAAGCTCTGAGAAGCACAGCCTGGGTTCTTTGGCCTTTTGCTGCCCCTGAAGTGGGTGAAGGAACCACCAGACGGAGTTCCAGCTTGTGTACAGCAACTGCACAAGACCTGGGAGGTAGCCTCCATGTCATCATCCTCAGTCCCAAGGATCCCCAGACCTCTGCAGCCGGAGAAACAGATGGTCTGCTCACCCTCCCTTATTGTGCCACAGTAAATAAACCCCATTGCCCAAGGCTACCCAGTAGGCAGGCAATAAGGTATCTTTGAACTTCAGTGTCTGATGCCGGGGTCATCTACCCCACCCTCCCTACCCTCTGCTGCTCCCTGAGGACTGCAGAACACCATCATTAAGACCCCGGTGGAAGGCTGGGGATGTATCTCATCTGGCGGAGTGTTTGCATGAAGTCCTGGGTTTGACCTCCAACACCATATAAACTTGGGCATGGTGGTACAGGTCTGTAACCCCAGCACTTGGGTGGTGGAGGCTGGAAGGTCAGAAGTTCAAGGTCATCCTCAACTATATAGTCAATTTGTGGCCAGCCTGAAATACAAGAGATCCTGTCTTGCCAGATATAGTGGATCTCAGTGAGTTCATAGGCCAGTCTGGTCTATCTAGCAAGTTCCAAGTCAGTCAGTGCTACATAGTAAGACCCTATTCTCAAACAACCAACCAACCAAAACCAAAACCAACAAGAAACCAGGTGGAGGTGGAGGACTAGGGATGTAGTTTAGTGGGAAAGTGCCTATCTAGCTTGTCCAAGGTCATGGATTCCATCCCCAGCCCATTAAAAAAAAAAAGTAAAGACCTAAATGTCCCAGGAATGGGGAGCAGGAAGTACAGATAGTGGGGTGGCCAGACACTTCCTTCAAAGAGGTAGGCTATAAAATAAGGGTGCTGAGGCAAGTGGGAGGCACCTCATGCTAATATAAGAGCGATCTGAGCATCTGATGCAGGCTGATATCAGGCAGGAGTTGCCCCTGAGTGGGGATGAGAAAGGACAGGAACCAAGCTCAACAGCAAGAGCCTGGTGGGTGGGCAGGAAGGGGTCTGTGACACCCTGCCTCCTCAGGGTGGACTGAGAACTTTCTGTTGGCTCAGACTCAGGAAGTGGGAGACTGAGGAGAGGGGACCTCCTTGGTAGGGAAACTCAGTCCCCACCCAGCTGGATATCAGATGGAACCAGGGCTTGAATGTCTTGGGTTCCCTCTGACAAGCAGAAGGAACTTGGGGTGGATCCTCCTCTCCTCCTGATCTGCCATGGGGCCTGTTCTCCACTTGCTCATATACAGAGTTCTACCGAGGCTTCTCTGTACAGGGGCTCTGAAGCCATCTCTTCTCCCATCCACAGCCTCCCACCAGGGATCTAAGGAGCTACTTCTATAAGCACAGGCCAAGGGCAGATACTGCCAGCTGGCAGTGAGGAGCCCCTCCCCTGGCCCAGTCTGCCCTGCAGCCTGGGGAGCAGATGGTCTGCTGGCCCTCCCAGACTGCTCCACAGCAAACCGCAGGGGAGCCCCTGGCTCCTCCTCTCAGCCTCCCTGGGTCTTCCTGCTCAGCTTTTAGGAAGCAGTGAGCTGAAAGAGACATCTGGGTCTCCCCAGGGCCCCAGTGGCCCAGCTGCCTGCCTGCCCACCCTGTACTGGTGTTACCCTGTTCAGCATCTCTGAGGCAGGGCCCAAGCTTGGCTCCCTCCCACCCCAGGGTATTTCATGCAAGAGAGAGCCCTGTGGGCCTAGCCTACAACTACCCTGCCCAAATTCAGTGTCCCCATCAGGAGCTATATCAGCCAGCTCCCTACCCACAGGATCAGCTGCACCCCAGACTGAAAGCATTTCTCTCCAGGCCTAGAGGACAGACAGGCTGACAGTCTACAGGATGACGTGGGACCCATTTGAGTTTCATTGAGCAGAGAACCAGGACTTAAACTCAGAAGAGGGAGGATTGATGTTCCTCTGAGCTTATCCCCTGTAGGTCAGTGCCACTGTGCCCCTCTAGGTGCCAGCCCACTACTATCTGAGGACATTCTGATGCCAGGGCATGGGGTACTCCATGGGGCATCTGGGTGTGGACCTTGTCAGAAAAGGAGGAACTCACACTGATTTACATATGGAGCCACATTTGCATTTCACATTCAGGCTCTGCCTTGACCTTCTCACCCAGCCCAGCTCAGATGGCCTGCTCTCTCAGAATGGGAAAAATTACACATTGACTAGCAAAGATGGGGCCCATCAGCACAATGACCTGCTTCAGGTCACCCAGCCTGCTAGGATCAGAGACTGACCTCAACCCTGACCTTGAGAACCCAAGAGCCTGCCTGGAGCTCTTTGGGACTTGGGCAGCCTTGGGTGTTTGGACTGTAGGTGTGCTGGGTGGGAGGTCAGGAAGGCCTGAGTCTGGGTGGCCCCCTGAGGCCTGGGTCTGCAAACCCACAACACCTACAGTAACTGGGAGCTCAATGGTGACAGCAACTGGGACAACAGGGACAGCAGAAGGAACTTATCTCCAGCAGGGGCCAGGGCATGTAACAGCAGCCTATACTTGGGGTGTGGGCTCTGCTTGAGGTGGCGCCCATGGCGATCCCTGGGGTAGGTGGGCTGAGCTGGTGTCTTCCCATAGCTGGGTTGAACCAGACACTCTCCACCTGGGAGGGGCTCAGGGACCAGTATCTTCCAAGGGCCTCTCTTCAAACCCTTCCCTGAGGTCAATTTTTTTTGTGTGTATGTGGGGTTTTTTTGAGACAGAAGCCTCAGCTGGCCTGGAACTCACTATGTAGACCAGGCTGGCCTTGAACTCACAGAGATCTGCCTGTCTCTGCTGGAATTAAAGGTGTGAGCCACCATGCCCAGCCCTCAGATGAATTTTAAAATATGTGTGTGTGTGTGTGTGTGTGTGTGTGTGTGTGTGTATTGCCTGTATGTATTTAAGTGCACCCGTGTCATGCAGTGCCCACAGAGGTCAGAAGAAAGTTTCAGATTCCCCTAGAACAGGAGTTATGGACAGATGTTAGCCACCATGTGGGTGCTGGGAACCAAACCTGGGTCCTCTGCAAGGGTGGCCAGTGTTCTCAACCTCTGAGTCATCTCTCCAGCCCGCTCAGGTGAATTCTGATCTTCCTTTCCATTGCCCTGTATTGACCTGTAGTCATTAGTGGAAAAGTGCCTGTCTAGGGTCTAGCACCTCCAAGGTTCTGGGTTCCATCCCCAACATCATTTTTTTCAAAAAGGCCTCTGGGGCTGGAGAGATGGCTCGGTGGTTAAGAACACTGGTTGTTCTTGCAGAAGACCCAGGTTTGAATCCCAGCACCCACATGGCAGCTAACAACTGTCCATAACTCCAGTCCCAGGGGATCTGACAGCCTCTTCTGACCTCCAAGGGCATCGTAGGACACATGTGTGCTTATCTATATGCAGGAAATACATGCATACACATAAAATTAAAAAAAAAAAAAAAAAAAGGCCTCTTCTTGGCCTCTGTGGGCACTACGTTGGTTTCTGGGGTTTCCAATGTCACAATAATCATCAGGTGGGAGTCAGTAGAGGGCAACAGTTCTGCTCCTCCCCATCACCCTCAGATACCTCTACACCCTGTGACGCCTCCTAGGTCCCAGTCTGAGGCTCCCACCAACACACCAGACATGGAATGCTGGCGACTTGGTTAGCTGGTCTTCCAGGTACAACAGCCTCTCTGGGCAGACGTCCCAGTTCCTTCCTAGGAAGTCCTTGTGGACCTCACCCTCCACCTGCCCTTGGTCTATAATACAAGTCCAGGTCAGGCTGAGTCTCCTCAAGGAAGCCTAGGATCTGAACTACAACCTGTGAGCAAAGGTGAAACTTGAACTAACACCAAACTGCAAAGGAGGAAGCAAGAGTCCCAGGTAGGATATGAGCTCTGCTAATCACTGGTGGGGGTTACTCCCCACCTCCTAGCCCTCAGGAGTCAGTCCACAAACACTCAATAACCTGGAGCCATGTGTTCACAGCTACTCCACACCTATGCAGTTAGGAAGGAGCGCAATCATGGTCTGAAGGGCCTAGTGCCCTAAGGAGCTCCATCAAGGTCAGGCATCCACTAATTATCCAATTATGGGTCATAGCTTGGAGGCTGAGAAGAGAAAGCTGAGCAAGAGCACACCTGGCTTCTTTGTGCCCAAACAGAATCTTGACCCCATGAACAAGCCCACCCAAAAGGGCCTGGAGCTGCCTATTTCTCAGCCCGGTTCCCTTGAGATGCCCCAGACGGCAAGAGCCTATACGAGGCCAAGGCACTTGGCTAAGATGTGAACATTCAAAGGGTGTGGTGGTCCACAACCTATTTGTGACACCTGGGAAAGATGAAGAGTATTCCAGAAACAGTGTCATAGGTGGACTGACGGGGGAGCCAAGAGAGGATGGCTTTAAGGTCCCTTAGTTAACCTCTGGTACTGCTTTAGCTTCATTCTGAGGACAGTTATTGAATACCACTATGTTCCAGCTCTGTGGGGGGCATCTTGCCTCTGGACCACATAGGCAGATCTGGGCCATGAGGAGGGACTTTAAAGATTATAATCCCATCTAACACAGCACACTGAGAGAGAGAAGAGTTCCTCACCACTGGAAGCAGGCAAGGGGGGTAGCAGAAGTGATTTCTGCTTTAGGTAGCAGGATTGATCACGTCTCAGCATTCTGGCTGAAATCAAGTGCAGGCAGCAGGACTAAATACCATGACAACTAAAGAGACGCTCAGAGCACTGGCTGCTCTTACAGAGGACCCGGTTCGTTCCCAGCACCCACATGACAGCTAATAACCCGTCTGTAACTCCAGTTCTGGGGCATCCAACACCCTCTTCTGACCCCTGACACAAGTGAAAAGTATTCTAGAAACACGACACAGGTGCATTTACATATATGCAGGCAATACACTCATACATATATAATAAAAATAAGTATTTTTAAAAAGATGACTGCTAAGTTCCCTCTAACAGTGAGGTGGGGCCACATACTCAGAAGTCTGGATGGTGTGATGTGTTTATGCTTTTCAGCGTCCATTTCCTCATCTGCCTTTTCCAAAAGTCCTCACCATGTAGAAAGAGAATCCTGGGGGCCAGTGAGATGGCTCAGTGTGTAAGGAGGCTTGCTGTCAAGCCCTGAGCTCAATTTTTTGAACCTACATGGTGGAAGGAAAGAATGGATTCCCCCAAATTGTCCTCTTACTTTCACATGTGTACTGTGTTTTACATACACCACATTGCAAGTGCAC